TATCAAATTGAAGGAAAAACATTGAAATACTTTTGAACTGTATAAATGAGTTGAGTTAAAGTGTCTCATTATTGTCACAGTGATTGTTCACTGATTGCCCCATTTTCCATAATGCAAACCAGGTCCACACCCAGATTAATTTGTAATGTAACCTCATTAGGGATTTCTCTTCTTTAGTAAGATTTTTTGTTCCTAATTGCTTTGTTTCTAGCTATCCTACTGTATATATATAGTTTGTGAAGAACTTCAAGAAAAAGTTTTAAGATATGATGAGCTGATAAGATAAGTGTTCTGAATCTAACTGGTAAATCTAAAAGGTTAGTTCATTAAGATTTTTCAAATTACAGGGAAAAGATTGAAATGATTTTGAACTGTATAAATAAATTTGAGTTTAGAGGTTATTCACACTGTTAGTGCCTTGAACTATGGGATTATTGGAAATGTAGGTCATCACTGAAACTATTGACATTAATAGTAGCCACTGTATTATTTCTGTTCTATCTGTGTTTCTTCCCTTGTTGTATGTTTATTCATAGTGATTGTGTGCTTGCTTGTATTTGCATTTTGTGGGGATGTGTTTGGGGGCAGTCCCTTTGTGAGCTTCCTCAACCTGTTGTTTCTGTGCTCACGGTATTATGAGTGTGTCTGTCAGCAGGAAGACTAGAAAATGCAAAGTTCTGATTTTTATTGAACGATAAGAGCACAAATTCCTGGAGAGTGTGGCATAGTGGTGTGGCAGTTAGGTGTGTTTCCTCACAGCTCTTGGGTCCTTCTGTTCAGTTCCCTGAGCTCTGGTTGAACTGTGTGGAGTCTGCATTCTCTTGTTCATGCTTATGTGACTTTTCTCCTGGAATCGGATTTCCTGACATATTCAGAATTCAAATGCATATTTGATCTGTTACTTGATTTTTTCAAGCAAGTATTCCATAGGAAGCCTGTGGTATTCCAGCTCAGGCCAGTGTTACCAAGGAAGTACAACAACCATGGACACTGACCTACACACAGTCCAGGTTCTCCAGGTTCCCACGCACTTCCCCCGGGACTGGATTCTTCAGAAGCTGCACCATCACTTCTCCCAGCCCTGGGGAGGAGAGGTCCTAAGGGTCCAGTACCCCACTCGAACCCCTGGCCAAGCCCTGGTCACCTTCAAGCACCAAGAAGGTGAACTTTGGTCCTCAGCGCTTTCATCTCAGGGAAAGCCCTGAAGTCAAATTCCTTAAAATAACAAGCAAAAAAAAAGTAAAAATCTCTAAAATGCTTACAAGTCGAATGCCGGCAATATGGACTTCTGGAGAGAACTTCACACCTGTCATAGGTGTGCTCTGTGTTTATTGAGAGGTTAATAAAACATAAACCACCACTTTGAACGAGTGAATGAATAAGATTGGCTGGATGGCCTCCTGATCTGTAAAGGTTACACATTTACATGGTTATTTTCTTATAGTCCTATTAATTAAAATTATAATGTATCAGGACAGGATCTGGCTTCTTGATCTTGCCTTTGCAATCAAACTCTAATCATCTTAAAATCATCTTTAAAGATTTTTTAGGAAAGCATTTTATTCACAGAAATAAAAGAAATGAAATTCAAGGAAAGCATTTGATTCAAAGAGGGATAGAGCCACAGATAAAAGTGTGTTGCAGCACACACTTATATGAGGCTGCAGTTGAAGGAACAGTGTGCTCCCAGGTTTCTATGAGGGTTATATGAGGCTTTTTATCCTTTTAGCTCACTGACCTCCCCTGTCTCTGTTCCTGTACAGCTGCAGAGCGAATATTCCAGTATAAGCACGTGCTGGAGGTGGAAAGCGAAACTTTCATCCTGAAGGTCAAGAGGATAGAGAAGAATGAGGTGCAGGATGTATTTTACTCTTCTTCACCTGTGTGTTCTGTTCGAAGACCAAAACTGAATTTCTTGGAATCTGATTTTAAAGTGAGGGCAGCACGCACATACAAAACACGAGTTATGCAAGGCTTTCCTATATGCAAGAAGAAAGAGAGCTCAAACTAAATCTAGCAGCTACTAGCCGGTATTTACACAAACATACAGAGTGACATAATGTATTAAGGAGTATTTTATATATTAATGTACTTTATATTGTAAGGTATTAAGACTTGAGAGTATAAAAACTTAAAAAAGCTACAAATGAAAGGAAGCCATCCAGATCAAATTTTTCTTTTGTAGTTTGGTCACTAAAAGAATAAAAATATCCAGACATTCAGACAGCCACTTCTTGAAGGAAGTTTGGGCCTCAATAGCCAGGCTCAGGAATCTGAAACTCACAACTCTTTACGTTAAAAACATTTAGCTATTTTCACTCTGAAATGAATTTCCTTTGCTTCTGAAATTGTCCAATTGTATTTCCAAATGCTGAACATACAGCTGTCCCCTAGGTTGATGGCACCTATACCATTCAGGATTTCTATATACTTGGATCTTGACTTCTTTTATTGTTCTTTGAGAAAATTAGCACCTTTAACCTGTCCAAGTTTGATAATCACCCAAGACCTGGAATAATTCTTGTTGCTCTTCTTCAAGCTCTTTCCAAGGCTTTTTGTGGAATGATGACCATAACTGGACACAATATTCCAAATGAGGTTTCACCAATGTGCAGTGAAGCTTGTTGCTTTTTCACATTGTCTTAATGAGAGCATAGAAGAATTTCCATAGATACCCTCACATAGCTCCTGCAGTCCAAAATCACCCATGCAAAGTGTATATTGCACATTGCTATTTCCTGTCAGAATCAGAATCACTGATTTATTTGCCAAGTTATACCTCCAAGGAATTTAATCTGATGTCATGGTGCAAACACATAAATAGAAACCATTCAATAATACTTAAACACTTCACACAAAGAACACGCACAAGTTCACAAATACACACACACACTACATCTGGTATTTCTGTGTTGTGTTTAAGCAGGGTGATGGCCAAAAGGAAGATACTGTTCAAATGCCAGGCAGGTTTTGCTTTTGATTGACTGGTAGCATCTCCCAGAGGCAAATTTTGTGAAACCGTGTGGCTCAGATTGCATTTTATCCAAGTTAAACTTAATTTTCCAAGTATCTGCCCGCTCCAGGATTTTGCTGCCGTTTCTGTCTGGGCACGTCTGACACCCCCGATGTTTTGTGACATGAGCAAATGTAACTCAGTTACTGCGCACACCAGAATCTAAATCATTGAACAAGATCAATGAGAGCACCAGACATGAAATACACCCTGTGATTACATGCCTATGTCTAATCGGTTAGTGTTTAGGCCCATTTTGATGTGCTGTTTTTTGTTCATTAATCCGTTCTTGATCCATGTGCAACAATATCCTTGGATTACTATGGCTTTTCTTTTGACCTTTTCCAAAGAGTGCATTTTCCCAAATGTTGATAAGAAAAATACCTGCATATTATCTCATCTCTGTTTTAAGGGGAAAAAAAGTTAAATGAAAACTTACTGGTTTCATTTTTTATTTTTTTAAACAAGTTGATAAAGTGTTCCAAAGACCTGCAAAGTCAACCAGCGAGGGAGACGGGGAGCCCAGGCGATGGAGAGTGGAGACGTCAGCCGGTCAGGAGAAGCTCCACTCTGCCGAGTCAGTCAAGCAGGTGCTGGCTGGTGGGGACTGAGACGGACTCAAGTGAAACCCAGTGGTACCTTCAGGAGAGGCTCAAGGACAAGTGGCAGAAAGATGAACAAGGACCTCACCGTGTGCTACCGGGCATAAGAGGCAGCTCAGTCTCTGCTGCACCAAGACTGAGGTATGTGAATAAAGAGCATCCTAGAAGAAGTTACAGCAGCCCCACTTACAGCACCACTCCAGGTAGCGTTCATCCCAGTCCACCTGGAAAAGTGGAAATCTACGAGATGAGTAACAACAGCCTGCACTCAAATGACACTGATCTGATTCACAGCCCCAAAAGCTATGAGAGGAATTTACCTCAGTCACCAGGAAGAAGAATATTTCCTGCCCCAATAAGGGATATTTCTGAGGCACCTCAGTATGTTTCAAATGAAAGAAACCAACTCAACTGGAACCACAGAGCTGCCTTGTGCCAACCGGAAAGAAAACAGAACTTTCAAACCTGTCTTAGCACTGATACCTACACTCTGAGATACACCCAAGCCTTCCAAAAGCAGCAGATAGACCGGATCTTGAGCAGCCACTCAATGGACCTCAAAGTGGAGGAAAGCATCAGCAAATTGATTCTATCACCCAATGTTCAGGACCCCAAAATGGCAAGAAACATGAAAAATGCCCAGGAGCTCCTCTCAGAGCTGTTAAAGAACACTGGATGCTCTTTGCAAACACAGGACATCAATCTTAGCAAATACAGTGCCCAGGAGCAGAGTGCGATTCTGAGTCGCTATCCGGGGCTGAAAGATGTTTACAGGGTTGTGGTGGAGCTCTGTGGGGACAGGCTCCGCCTGGTGGGGGCGCCCTTGGCCTGCAGCGAAATGAAACAGAAGCTGCTGGGTAACTCAGCCATGTCTCCAGTAGAGTACCAGCATGTCACACCAAGCACAGGACGCAACCAGATTGGGGATTGTGAGATAGCTGTGCGTAGCAGGTCTGATGCTCAACACCAAGCTGGAACCAAAACCCCGCCTGTATAGTTCCTTGTAACACCAACGAACAAAATACTGTTCTTGGGACTTTCCATAATACTCTAGAACTAGAAAAGAAGAGTTTCCTCTTACAAATATTAGCTTATCCAACTAAGAAAGAAAGCCAAGCCATTATCGGATGGCTTCTCAAGATCACACAGGTTTCCTAGTTGCCTTACACTTCATAATAAATGAGCAGTTTGTGGTTATAAATTGGCAGCACATTGGTGCAGTGGTTGTTATTGATCATTGTAGCTCTGGGGCCCTGTGTTCAATTCCTGGGATGTTACTTATGTGGAATTTGTTTTGTAATGTGTTTGTGTGGGTTTCCTTTGGGTGCTCCGGTTTCCTCCCACAGTCCAAAAACATACTGGTGTGTTAATTGACTCCTGGGAAAATTGGCGCTGCTGTGAGTGTGTGCACAGCAATGGACTGGTGTCCCATCCTGGATAGACTCCAACTCCCCTTGACCCTGTATTGGAGAAAGTGGTTAGAAAATGGATGGATTATTACATAGTGAACTACTAGTGAGAACAAAGCTAAGACTAGTTTAGTTCAGTTTAGCTGATTTGTCATATGGACAAGTGCAATGAAATGCTTACTTGCATGTATGCTACAATACAAAGATATTAAAGGAATCACCAAAAACATAAACACAGAACAGCAGCCAAAACAACAAGTTAAGAAACATTAACGTTTTCAAAAAAACGTCAGACAAGCAGTTTGAGAAAACAACATCAGTGTGAGCCAATGATAGTGGTAGAGCTCAGTCATCTGACAGGTAGAATTATAGCATGACTCCTGTCAGACTCCTGAGTATAGACAGTACGCAGTAGAGACAGAGAGAAAACATTTATTACAGATAGCTAACTTCCTGTTTCTGAGTAAGAAAATGTTGTTTGTAACACACCGCATGGAGAATTAAACCCAGGAGATACTTGAGAGAGCACCTGTCTGTTCTAATCCTATAAAGTGATTCTTAGCTGTGTAGGGTGAATCTAAAAACTAATACAAAGAATATGAAAAAAGAAAAGTAAAAAAAAAAAAGTGGTTATCATCCCTAACAAAAGAGCAGGGGGATAATAACTATGTATCAGGCAACTTCAGAAGTAACAACATTAGAATTAAATGTCTTCTCACAATTAATATCAGCAGAATTACAACAGTACTGTATATATACTCTTTTATTTGTAATGTCTAGAAAAGAAGAATACAGTCAAATGACACAAGCAGAGCATTATAAATGTTGAATGAGGTGCATTTGTACTTATAATCATTTTTTTTGCTACATGCATTAGTTTTATTTTGACTTGTATTTTAAAAAGGGTACAATTAAGCTTATGCTGAGACTAGTGGGATAAAATACAAAAATCTGGTCTGACCTTGAATGGACTGCCCACTTACATTGCTTGTTTTTAAAGAGCTGTTTGTATTCATGATCTGAACTTTGGGTGTAATAAACATGCACAGCTGGACTTTCCCCATGTCCTTCTTCCTCATGTTAAAAAAACCTGAATCTCTGCTTCAATACTTTAGTTAAATGACATTGAAGCCTGCTTTCTCTTATGGGAGAATAGTGTTAAGCAATGAACACACAGTCTGATTTAATGTTATTTAAGACAGACATGGCTGGCTTGCTGGTGCAGTGGTTAGCACTGCCTTGCTGTGCTGAGGCCCCAGGTTCAATTTCTGGGGAACTTACTGTTTTCACCAGGTGCTCTGGTTTCTTCTCACAGTCCAAAGATATTCTGGTATATTAATCCCCGCCGTTCGGAAAGTGCTTATTGCATGCGAAGTTCACACCTAGTTAGAATGTTTAGCAAATTTGTGAGAATGTTTAGTTTGTGAGCCATATCACTCTGCAACTGACAACTGGCAGCCCACTGAAGCTCAGCAGGTGTCAGTGCCTGGATGGGAGTCCTCCTGGGAAAAACTAAGGTTGCTGCTGGAAGAGGTGTTAGTGGGGCCAGCAGGGGGTGCTCACCCTGTGATCCATGTAAGTCCTAATGCCCCAGTATAGTGACGGGGACACTATACTGTAAAACAGGCGCCGTCCTTCGGATGAGACGTAAAACCGAGGTCCTGACTCTCGGTGGTCATTAAAAATCCCAGGGCTTTTCTCAAAAAGAGTAGGGGTGTCTCATCCAGGATGTTCCCTGTCTTGTGCCTGTTGCTTGCTGGGATAGGCTCTGGCTCCCCATGACCCTGAATTATATAAAGTGGCTAGAAAATGGATGGATGAATGACCCAGAGATTCTACTTACAGTACATTGTGCTTCACAGACCAGTTCAAAAAGAGGCACCCTACTTGAAGCATTAATCTTGGAGTTCGATAGAAGGTGATAGATGAATGGTGATGTTAAAAGAGCTACACACCTGAAGCTCTCAATTCTTTATAAACTCCAATGAAATATGATATTGCCACCTACTTAACAGGCATGGTATTACAGATTAGCCCATTTCATCACTAGATTTTAGATCATGGTGGACTCTGAAATGCCTCAGCAACTGCAAGAATTGGCAGAATCCTTTCAATGGATTTCAGGGTAAGCCCCCACATGTTAGATCACAAGATGTATGAAAATTAAATCTTACAAGAGATTTCAGAGCAGGATATAAAAAGGTTTAGGTTTCACAAGTAGGTCTTCATTTTAATTTCCCCATCTCATAAGGATAAGCAGGATTGTTGCTCGTCCTGTAACTCTTTCTGGATCTGGCTGAATGTTTTGAGTACACAGTCATTAAAAAAAAAAATCAGCCAAAACATTTGAACCGAACATTTTTATAAGGAACAGTAAATTCGAAATCTTCTATGTGTGTTTTTTTATTATATGCTCCACAAAATACAAACTACCTGGAGTTCCTACCTTTCACTGCGTTTACAAACTATACTTAAATAAACAGAACTAACTAAAAAAAAGTTGTGTAGTTCTGTAATGTTTAAGTGATCACCAGATGCTTCTATGACTTAAAACTTCTTAAATGTCGAAAAATGAGAAGTAGTCAACCGTTTGCTCTGTAAGATGTAAATCTCACAAAGTATCTGTGCTTTCTCAAAGTTGTAAAGTGTACTTTCAGATCGAAAAACCCTTTAAATCAGACAAAAATCCCTTTAAGTCTTCCTCAGTTCAATTTGATACCCATATCACGTGAGGAGGACAGCGATTCCCTGCTTACTAGTGACGAAATCAATCTGCGACATTTGCGTTTGGAGGCCATGTGAATGTTGCTTCCTTCGACCAATAAGGTGAGTATATTGTTTAAGAATTATATTACACCTCAACCTTATTTTTAAATTTAGAGGTTGGGTGATGAGTAACGAATGGTTGTGTGGCGTTAAGCACATATTTAATGTGCAGTCTTGTTCGATAGTCAGTAAGTAAGGGCAGTGTAACCGGCAAGGTCAGAACGGAGTGTTTCCGCATCAGGTTGTGCAATAGATCAATTCTACTGTCACTACAACATGAATTGTTGGACACTACATTTTGAAACATAGTACACAAGGGCTTTCACGTACTGTACGGAGTCTGGAGAGCTGTACAATGGTCCTGTGGTTGTCTTTAGGTGATTGTCACTATGTACAATGTAGAAAGAGGATGATGAATATACATACACGATAACGATTAGCGAAATTAATAAGCGATCTCATAATTTTCATAATAACATGCATTACTTGTCCATGATCTTGGAACCAGAGGCTGCAACATTAACAGAATCGCGAAGTGTTTCTCCCTAGCCCTAATTTACCCCCCAGTCTCCCCTAATCCCAATCGCCAATCATCCATCAATTCTCCGTCCGTTTGCCCTGTTGAGTGTCTCCAGAAGGGTGTAGTTGTTCCTCGTTAAGATTTGAACATTTTACGTCCCACTGGGTCACTGTATTGACTGGGGAAATTACTGCATTGCATGTTTTCAGTTTAACAAGTATGTTAATTATTTAAACGAATTAGCATTTATTTAAGAAGTGCCAGTTGTGTTCCGTGCTTGCAAGGTCGTGAATTTCATACCTTAATCTGCTTAAATTTTGTTAACCTGACTGGGGGACCAAGTGTATTAGTCCCGGTATATTTCCTGTTCACTCAGTGCAGGGCCTGCAGATTCCCTTTCAGCCCATGGCTGATGTGTCCATGAGTGCCGAGGACTATTGTGTATCTGTAACTCTCCCATTTTCTTACTGTTGGAACTGTTAATAGGCGGCGATATCCGAGTCAGTGAGACGGCAAATGACCCAGAACTGCACTGGTGTCATCACAGCTATGCCGTGTGTTCAGGCTGCAGACTGTGTATGTTTGGCCTATGCTCAGACAGGGCTATTTCTTCCCATTTCTAAGAGCCGTTTATTGAAGACCTCTGTCTAGCAAGTCTTTACAAATCCTTCATATCCAATTCCCTGTATAAGCAGAAGTATTCCTGACAACCGGATCTGGCTTCGCGTGTTCCCCTGCAGGTTCAGTGAGATGAGGAGTCTAGTTCTTTGCTTGTGAAGGCAGTGACAGCGCCTGAGAGAGAGCTCCTGATGACCACGCGATTTTTAGCCCGCTGCACCCGGCTCTTGGGTGCCCAATGCACTCGTGTTCCTGCCGTCCAGGGACGGCCCCTGGCCCTCCCTCCCCCTTCAGAGCCCCTGTGGATTGTGGCCTGGCGGCTCCCCTCCCTGGGTCCACTCCGGGCGCTCTGCGATGGGCACGGCGTGGCGGCGGCGGAGGAATCCTACCCCAAGGCCCCGGAGCGCACCGAGCTGGACCAGCTGCTGGAACAGGCCCGCTCCCCGCAGGAACTGCTGCAGCTGTGGGCAGAACGGGGCGGCAAAGCGAACCAGGCCGCCATTGCCCTCGTGCACCTGGCACGCCTCGCGGGCGACAGGCAGGCCGCCCAGGGGGGAGAGAAGGGCGGCTCTGACACGGACAATCTCCTTTACGACTCCAGATTCCAAGACCTGCTGCACACAGTCAACTCCCAGGTAAGAGCGCCCAGGGCGAGCAGCACCTCCAACTGCCTGTGTGCAGCTGGCCAATAACAGCAGCTAGAACATGAGATCTCAATGCAGCTTAACCCACTAAGTAACAGGTCAAATACAGTTATAGAGAACACCAATCCACTGCTCCACTGCACAGAATGGTGAAGTGGCATTGAACATTGCCAAATCTGTGAGTTGCAGAATTTGTTCTCGCTTGTTTTTTTTTAAATGTTTTAATATTTTGTCAGTGATTTTAATTGTAACAATTAGAAACGTAGAACGGGGTTAATAGATTGTGCTGTGCACGCTCACACAGTTGGCTCAGGGTGCTACAGTAGAGAGTGGGGCAGCACGGGTGTGTGTCTGGAAGTCTGAACGCCACACGTGTGCCTGTGTAAGTACCTTTGCTGTGCTTTCCAGGTGTCCACAGTGTGGAACGGCTCTCTGGTGTCTCTCCTGAGGGCCCTGTCCCGACTGGGTGTGGCCCCTGGGGCTCCTGTGCTGCGCTCTCTGCAGACGGAGGCCCATTGGCGGCTCCGGCGGTTCAGCTACAGGCAGCTGGCGGCGCTGGCAGAGTGGTGCAGTGTGCGCCAGCACAGCGGGCAGGAGGGGGCGCTGCTGAGGGACGTGCTGAAGCAGCTGGAGCTGCGCTGGACGGAGATCAGTGACCCGCGCACTTTATCCCTCCTGATGATGAAGGTGGGACATCTGTCCGCCTCCCTCATGGACAGGCTGGAGGACAAGGTGAGGAGCGGGAAGGGGGGGATGAACTGCTTGGAAATTCTTTCTCTCCTGCCTTCTGTTCGATTTGAATGTGACTTTTCTTAAATAGCCCCGTCTAGTTTAGTTTGTGCAGCATTTAATATCCTCCTCTGCAGATCCCACTAATTATCTCTCTCTCTCTCCCTCTCCCTCTCTCCCAGGCTCTGGAGCTGGCCGAGAGGTTCGGCCCGGAGGAGACACGGCGGGTGGCTGTGTCCCTGGCAGCTCAGGGCCGGCGCTCGGTGCCCCTGTTGAGGGCGCTGTCCTACCACCTGCTGCAAAAACCTGGCCTGGAGCTCCGCACGCCCCTGCTCATCGACCTCGCCTTCTCTTACGGTGAGGAAGGAGGGAGGGAGAGATTGAGGAAAAGAGGATACCTTGTGTGCCGCTAACAAGCACCGGAGCTCCTTGCACCTTTGATGGATTTCTCCCTTCCCTTGACCCCTGGTAGGAAAGCTCAATTTCCAGCAGACCCAGGTGTTCCAGAGGATCGCGGGTGACCTGCTGCCAAGGCTGCCTGAGATGAGCTCCGGTGATGTGGCGCGTTGCGCCAAGTCCTTCTCTTTGCTCAAGTGGCTACATCTTCCGCTATTCGAGAGCTTCACCGAGGTCTGTCCCTGCCCCACTCTCCACCTTCTCCGTCTGTTCTCTTCATTCTCTTCTTCTGAAAACACAGCTACAGCGTACCTGATAGGGTTACGTGGGTTTCAGCTTACATTTGCAACAAAAGACCTTTAGAAGGTGAAAAAGTAGATAACGAAATTAACAATTCCACACTGACCCTTACAGAATTGTTTAACATTTGAAAGCCTTGGCCTTCAAGTTAAGACTTGCCCATAGCAAAGCATTATACATTTACTTTAAGGTTCACCAGCCATAAGTTCATATTACAGTAACAATACAGTGGAGTTTGGTGTGTCCCTACTTCTGTCTGCTTCTCACTGCCCTACATTGCTCTCCTAAGTGTCTTACTGACATCCCTTGTTGAAATTCCTGCTCAAATCAAAGGAGGATTCTTGATAAGCACAGAATATACCAAACAGGACCTGGTGTGTCCTATGGGGACCAAGATCATTTGCAGAGGAGTTATAATCCATAGCAGACTGCAGATTCTTAAAATTTTTCCTGTTCTGCATAAGCTTGGGCAGACAAATGGACAAACCCAGAATAGTATTGGATACACTGCCAGCAGCTAAGCAGGGGTGAGCCTGGTCAGTACCTGGATGGGAGACCTCCTGGGAAAGCTAAGGTTGCTGCTGGAAGAGGTGTTAGTGGGGCCAGCAGGGGGTGCTTACCCTGTGGTCCATGTAAGTCCTAATGCCCCAGTATGGTGTGATGGGACACTATACTGTTGCAACGCTTGCTCTGTGGAAAGCGAAGGGCATGACAAGGCACAGAAAGGCGTCATGGCCATCCACTGCAATTAAGGAAGTCTCCAGTCATGACGAGTACTCGTACCACTGGACCCAGGATTCTGAGGTCGAGAGAGTGGGACTGCCCCAGTGCAATAGCATTCCCACTTCAAAAAAAGCTCTCCCGAACAAGTTTCTTTGTGCAGAAACAGCCGTCATCATTAGATACACTGCATTTCAGTTTCATCAGTACAGCTTGTAAAGCTTGTAATAGATCCAGCTGATGAGCAATAGGATTCTGATTTGCTGTCGTCCAATCCTCGCGTATTCAAATTCACACCCGAACCCTGTGTTCTCTAACTTTCTCTCATCACAGAATTTCCTGCAGTGCAGCGAAAACTACAGCACCACCCAGCTGTGCAACCTTCTTATGGCATTTGCTCGGCTCAACTTCCAGCCCAGCAAGGATGTTGCCTTCTATAGTAAGGTAGGCACAGCTCGGCCAGGATGGGCTTGTTGACAGGCCCTCCTTCAGGTCCCGGGGGCAGACTTGGGGATTTCACAAGGGCGCATTGCTGCACTGTGTGGTTGATCTGAGGGACTGTGTTTCTGTGAGCAGGTCCATGCTGGTCTGGAGGGTGCTTTGACCCAGCTGGAGCCGTTCCTCCAGACGGATGTGGTGTGGTCACTGTGTATTTTGCAGCAGGCCAGGCCACAGGACTTGCGGCCAGTGCTGGAGCCAGGCTTTCAGAGCAGGCTGACGGGTGAGCTTCTGTCCACACACACTCTCCGGTCCACCGCTCTGCAGCCATTTCCCTCTTTCTTCCTGTAGCCATGTGCTCCTGCTCTTAAATTCTAATTTAAAAGCTCATTTTTGGGTATGATAAAACTGTCCTTCCCCTTCTCATTTCTGTTGAGAAAAACAGATTGGCACCTGGTGAGGTCAGAGATACGTGGCCTTCTATATTTGTGACTAAATCTTAGTGATCTTTTGCATTTCTTCTGCATCTGTACCATGTCATTCCAAGTATGCCCAGGAGAGGGCAGTGCAGGATGGTGTTCGGGTCAATAAGGTGTTCCTTTAGATCTGTACACAAACTGTAGGCATCGTCTCATGTAGTGGTTAGTCGGGATGCAGGTGCTCCTTGCTCAAGTGGACATCCAGCATAATCCTGTGCATTGAAAAAAGCAGATAAAAACATTCCACATCCATAATTGGGGAAAAAACTGAAGCTAGGGGCAGCGAATCTGAATTTGTACAACACATTTCTGAAAACCATGGATAGAAACTCGAATGAGAATTTAAATAAGACTGAAACTCATTTGGATGACACTTCACTTGAAAGGTGTGACCTAAATTGAGATGTTAAAAGAACTGCATGTCTTTTGCCCTGAACAGAGACGACTTTGTGGAAACTTGGTTCATATTCACAGAATCCTTAAAATATGGACAACTCCAACCCTTTTTTTATCTAAAGCTGAGAACAGGCATCTTTAAAATGAAAGTACGAGTTGTGGAGACTAGAAGTACCCCACCACGTTGTGGAAAGTGGTTGATAGCAATCCTTCAAAAAAATTGAAATGGTAATACTAATTCCCTGCATTTATATAGCGCCTTCCATCCCAGCGTGCTCAGCTCCTAAAAGCAGGATGCTTCCTTGTATTGACACACAGTTCTCATGTGCCTGTTGCCATGGCGGCGCTCTGACCCTGTGTGAGTTTGTGTTCCAGGTGGCAGTCCCTCCCGCACTCAGAACTACAGGCTGAAGCTGGCCCACATCGTGGCAACGGCACAGTTGGAGTACGGGGAGCTTCTGGGGACACCACCGCCCGCTCCCCCCGCCGAGGCCTCCAGGAGCCAGCCTACACCCCTGCAGAGCAGCCTGCACGAGGCGCTCCGCAGCCTGGTGGCGGGGCAGGAGGGCACGTACCGGACCGCTGTCAGCACTGTGTACGGCTGGACCATTGGTGAGCCTGGGGAGAGGGCTGACACTGGCTTTGCTGCTGCTCGGGTCCATCCTGGTCAACTTTTGTAGGTTAACCAAGCTCCTGGTTACTACACACATAGAGCCCATTTACTTTGCTCTCCTGTGGCTTGCTTTGACTGCGAACGTGTGAAGTCAGAGTTAAGCACCTTACATGTGGTATTTTTGGCATTGAGCTTTAAACCCTGCTTCAGTCATTTACTGTATCATGTTTAAAACAATCGTGATCTAGTGGAGTTCTAGTGCTTAACTGTGAAAGTCATGGGTAACTGTAGTCTGGTGTGGCCCTGGGCTGTAAGTGTAAGAAAAGCAAGCAGAAATATGAAATTACGAAGCAGATTTCTCAGTTTTATCCGTCGTAAATGACAGCATTAACTCAAGCCAGGCTGGGGAGGCTGTCGGATGTACTGGTTGTCTCATAAGCTCACAGAAATGATTAACTGTGAGACTGTATTTGTGGAAGATTTAGACAGAAGGTAAAGCAGGTTGCACTGCCTGATGTTAAAAGTAGTAACTGTCTTGTTTAGATTATAGTTTTGGGTTAATTTTATTGTCTTTTAATTTGATATAATTCCACTTGTAAATAAGAGAGTAAATGTTACACTAATTGAGGACAATAAGGGCCCAGTTTAAATCCTTCCTATTAAGTACAAGCCTCTAGTCAGGTTCCACAGAAAGTTTTCTGGACAGTCTGTGCTCCATGCTGCCATATTAGGGCGTCACAACACCCCCTTCATTTTTAATCTTCAGCAATGGTAAGGTCTTGCAAGGCAAGTGTTCCCTTTAATTAGTTTGCTGTGGGCACTGCCTTGAAAAAGCTGAGTGAGCTGCAGCCCAGTGGGGTGATGTGCCTGAGAGACAGATCCTCCTGTTGCGTTAATGTGGCTGTAGTGGACAGACGCTGATGTTTTATTGCCTGGTCGCTCTGCAGACGGAGAACTGGTTCTGGATTCGGAGAATAAGCCAATGAACCTGGAGACCCTGAAGGCCCCCCACCTCCCGGGGGCCGGGGGGCCCACACCGCTCCCCAACGGAGCCAGGAGGTGAGCTGCCTGTGCCTGGCGTCGCCCCTCGACACCCCTCCGCCTTCTCCCTCTTTCCTGGCTGCTTTGTTTCCTCCCTGCCATGTGCCATGCCACCCTCCTCCACCTTCCCACTGTCTCTTCCGCTTCTACAGTAAGGCACTGTGCCCTGACAACTCAAGCCCTATCTTGATTCCTGCCAGTCTGACGCTGGCAGCCACCTTTTTAGAAAACAGTGACTCTTCTTATGACGCGAGATGAATGCAAAACGCATTGCCATTTCCTGATTGATTTGTATCCTATTCACCCGAAATCAATGTCGATGTGCAGGATTGCGTTCCTGGCTGGGGAATTCCCTAATTATGGCTCACGGAGCAAAGACCTGCTGGGGCGATTCGTGATGCAGCGGCGCCACCTACAGCTGGCTGGTTTCCTCACTGTGGAGGTGAGAAAGAAGTGTGTGTGTGTGTGCAGGGGGGTGTGCTCTCTAGAAGTCATAACTGGGACTGTGATGCCATGTTATAAAACAGTCAGATTATGCCATTCAAACAAAAAAACAGCAGAAATTCCAGCTACAAAGGATCCCAGTCCAGGTTGTGACATATACATGGGAATTAATATCCATTAGGATTGATGTAATTAAGCTTGAGATCTGTTTCCAGCACATACAGTTCAAACACATGTATATACTTATAATGCATCTGATGTGTATATTTAGTGTAAAACAAGAAATGGAAATAATTGACAAGTGTGTTATGGCCTGTTCATCACTTCTGATTTGCTTTATCACGTCTGTTTGCCCAGCGAGACTAATACATTGCTTCTTGCAAAAAGCAATTAAATTTGCACCAACGCTTGATTTTCCCACCTGTGGTTTAAGTATTACACACATTAAGTTAAAATATATGCACCGGCAATGAGTCCACTTTTAAAACTTACAGACTGTAAGGAGGGCAACGCAAAGGACTGTGGTGTGATGTCATTGCGTATTATAGCGCCTGCCAGGGAACCTGCTCGGCCTATGTTGCTGGGTTTTGCTGCCTTGAATTTAAGTGTGGATCTGTGAGATGTGTAATAAATTGTTTCGTTAATTAGTTGACGATGTCCGTGTGAAACAAGGAGACTCATAAAAGGTACCCTCTGTATCTTGAAGCAAATCAAATATATTTCTCTTGTCAGCATCTATAGTGCACTACTGGAAATGCAATACCTCAGCAAGCCTCTGACTGCTGCCATGATCCTTAGCAATTGGCCACCCCTCTGAGGAAAGCTGAAGCCACACTGACGTTACTTTATTTCCAAAATGGCCTTCAGAACATTTTTGAGTGCAGTATTCTCTCAACAGATGCTGTTCAGTATCCGACTTTATTGCATCTTACTTCATTTCTGCAGCAGCTGTCAGAAATGTTACAGTGAAGCAACAGGTTTTGAAAACTGCAGTGCCCCTCCAGCCCAGTAGACCAGCAGGGATAATCCTTCTCCAAGCTCCTTTACAAGATGAGCCTAGTGGCTGAGCCGCTTTTGGTGAGGGGGAGTGTGTTCTATCCTGAGTTTCCTGTAACTTAGTTTGTGCGGTTCTTATCATATTATCTGGGGACTGACTGGTATTGTTTTTTTCTTTTTCTGTTGTTTTTGTCAAGGCTGACACTGTAAAAACTACTTCCATTATAAAAACGAACTTCAAGCTCAACGGGCAGACTAGGACTAAAGGATAAAAACTAAAATGAGGTGGGGGGTATCCCAGTTCCAATCCCAGTTCCAATCCCAGTTCCAATCCCAGTTCCAATCCCAGTCACCTGGTGACAAGAGCCATGTTAAAACTCAGTATATCACTGACAAAACCTGCCCAGGGGCCTTCTTCTGAATTACTAGTAAAAGTCATACCAGAGGACACAAATGACAGCTAAGAGGAAGTGCATTTAAAATTGGGAAGTAGTGGCACTTTTTTACTCAAAAGGCTGTTGGAGCCTAGAACAGTCATGTGGCTGAAGTCACTACCCTGGCTTCTATCAGGAAGCCTCAGAATGTGATCCTCAGATCAATGGGTGTTGGGAGCTATGTGAACTCTCTTGTTTGAGCCCTTTCTTGTGTGCATAGGGGACTTAATGATTGTCAGTCTGGTTCTGAGCCTCTGACTGGTTTAGAAAAAGCTGAGATCTATTAAATTCTGTTGTTGTGCCCAAAGCAAACTTGTAATCTGTGAGCAGAGCCAGTGCTGCACAGATGCTGGGTTCCTTCTAGCAAAGAGAGGAGGGTGAGAGGGAGGCAGAGCTGTGATACGCTGGGAGGGGAGGGGCACTGCAACACAAATATTACATTGGGGCGAAGCATCTACTTTAAACACACTCATGTACAAGACTGAATTAAAAATGAATGAGACATCTGTCCAAGACTACAAATATAACTACATTCTATGAGAGTCTTGCTGTCATTGGCTACATAATTTCATGCCTCGCTCTTCCCTGCTGAAGCTGATTCATCGGATGGATAAATGTGTTGAAAAAGGTTCAGCTTCGGTGTCATGGGTAACCGCGCACACGCAGCAAACCTTTTCAGCTTCCCTCCTACATGCGTCAGTGATGAGTGTTATAAATAGTGAGGTCAGCTCTGTGCTCCTTTCAACAGAATCTGTTATCTCTATCTAGGCCAATCCTCTTACCCCTCAGCCAGAACTCAGGCTCTGATGATATTCACTAAATTAAGCCAGTTAGATTGGGCTTGTTATTAGGGCCTAAATAGCAGACCCAGCAGATCTGAGTTACAGCACGCCGAGAGAGTATTTGGCAGGGGTTGGTGGAGAAACTGGGTTACTCCTTAATGGCATTAGACCTCCCTGTGCTGGCAAATAATGGGCAGAGAAGAAGCAATGTCAAGTCCTGCTGATAAGAGTGTGCTGACCACAGACATGACCAAGTGAACATCAATAATAATGCTGTCGTCGAGTTTTTCTGCAGTACTTCCACAGCCAAGATATAAATATCGGTTTTCTGTATGACCAAGCCAAAACTACCAGAGCCAGATGTGCTTGTATCTATTTTGTGCCGGGTGTTTTATTATGGTCTCTGTCCTAATGCTGTTTGTTATACTGTGGCAGTAGCTCTGTGGATTTCCAAGCAGCCCATAAGAGTATTGAAAGTGCAATTGAGAAAATCTGCTGAAGGAATTTGTGTGTACCAGGGTGGAAACTCATGATACAGGTCATAGGAAAATATAGACTTTGTCATTCTCACTTGTGCACCATCCTGGGCTGAAAGAGCTGATAAATGGGCGGTTTGTACCCTCATCTAAAAACAAGTTATTTCTAAGAGGCATTAATTGATGTTTATTTGTAATTGAGGGGTTGTCCATCCTGCTAAGCTTGAGCATTGCTGTTAATTGTTTTGAGAAAGTAGGGTGTTGAAGCCTTGCCCAATGATTGCAGTTCAGTAATTGTGTTTTTCTTTTTCCGATTTTGTCCTCTTGAAGGTACCCTACTATGAATGGCTGGAGCTGAAGTCTGACTGGCAGAGGGTGGCCTATCTGAAGGACAAGATGGGGAAGGCAGTGGCAGAGGACATGGCCAAATAACATCTGGACAGCGGAGTCATTTCCCTAAATGAAACATCTGAAAGGAAAACACAAAATAAGGATTAGACAGAAGCAAGCAGTTGTATTTCTGTGTACTCACAAAGAGTTTGTCCATCAGAGGCATTCCCAGCAACACTTGCAGCCCATAGTTTGAGTTCTAGAATGCCACTCAGGTTGTCATGACAACCACCTGGGAATTTCCCTCTGCCCATGGAGATGTGGCTACAGGGAGGCATTCAGAAGCCTGGTTTTGGATGCAGTATCTATGTATAGTAGGTTGAGCCAGCGGAGATGGAGAGTCAGATACAAAGTGTGCATCAAAAGAAATACCGCGTGACTGTGCAGAAGATGCTGAAAGGGGAGTTAAGAGTTTTCCAGCTCTCTTGCTTTGCTGTCAGCAAGTAAGAGCTGCCATGTGACGTTATAATACTTGCAAGATAAAGTTATTGTTAACTGTGCAGGCTGCTTGTGGTGTATGTGAACTCAATACCAAACTAATTAAAATGGAAAGGAAACTCCACAGCTCTCAGTGACTCAATTAAAAGAAGAAACCCTAATTTGACTATTTTAATGCTTTGGCTGCTGCCTTCAGTGAGAATAAAGTTTTTAATTGATTTCTTTAGAGGTGCAGTTTTCTTTCCTGTCTGGTATAATACCACCAAGAGTGTGTCCTGGTGCATGTCTCAAGTTTCAGGAAGAGTTCACTGAAGACCCCTATTATATCACAGCTTCTTACGTAACTCTGTACACTACGGTGAGAGTGACATCTATGGTAGCCATTCAGATTAGGTTCCTGTGCTGTCCTTTAGGACAGTGAAGACATTATCTTTTTAGGGTACAGTAAAATGGGTCTGGGACACCTTGTCAAGAACCAATAATATATAGTGTGGCAATAAGATTTATTTTAACATTGCCTTGGTGACTTGATACATGTTTTTATGTTGGTGAAGAACTGTAAAATGTTGTATCCATAGAATAATGTTTACAGTTTAAAGTTGTATCCATGATAGGCCAACATGGTGGCACAGTAGTTAGCATTGTTGTATATTCTCTCTGTGGGTTTCTTCCAGATGCTCCAGTTTCCTTTCACAGTCCAAAGAAATGCTGGTAGGTTATTTGGCTTCTGGGAAAAGTGACTCTGGTGTGAGTGTATGTCTGGACGTGCCTTGCAATGACCTGGTGTCCTGCCCAGGGTGTATCCTGCCTTGCGCCTGTTGCTTACTGGGATAGGCTTCGGCTCCCCCATAACCCTGTACTGGATAAAGCAGTTAGAAAATGGATGGATGTACCTGGGATCCTGAACGTCGGTTTTTCAAGGGCTCTCAAGCTAATGAGAATACAATGCCAAATTTAGAAATGTGTTCAGTGACCTGAACAACAGGACGAAGGAGGTTGATATCAGCTTCAAAAACATAGTTCAAGTAGGTAATGTTATTATAGTACCATGTTCCAAGATGAGCAGAACACATTTTGGGACAGCTTGTCTCTTCCCTTCCAGCTTTAACATAATCTTCAGTATCTAGTTTATTGTGTGCGAGAGAGGCCTGTTTAGTGTTTCTTTATAATATGCTTTTCTTATTAGTACAATGGCGATATAATCCTTCTCTTATTTGAGTTTAGATGGGCTGGAGTGTAGCACAAGGGTGCCCAGGCATGGGCGTTTGAAACCCCGTTAGACAACTTACACTGATTGCCAGGTCGGTATGTAAGGGAGCTTTGTCTAGAACAGGGCATGTCAGCTCTGATCCTGGAGGCCAGCAGGGTGTGTTAATAACCGGGATCTTATGTTATTGTGGAGCTTTTGGCTCACATTTGGTTTTATTCCAAACTGTTTATGCTTCTAGAAAATGATCAGGGGAGCAGCTCTCCAGGAACACCTGGCCGACGCTGCCAAGTCCGTTAAGCACAAGAGTATCACTCTGTGCTCCTTGACTTGCCATGTGGTCCCATCTTTCTGAACTCACTCAGCCAAGGGCTGGAGGTCTGTACGTTTTGGCTAGCACTGCACCTGTGTGTGGAACAGTCCAGTGAACAGAAGCGGACAAACCATAAAGCTGGGAAGTATTTCATTCCAGATTTGGCTTCCTCGGGACCTGTGGTCTCTGAAATTAAACTTTAAAAATTGCCACAGACAGGTTTTCTCAATGCTTCGTGAGGGAGCGATGTACTCTTTATTTTCTGGCAGCGTGATCAGTCCAGTCGAAAAAGATTTGTGGGCAGGTTGCCCCTACCTGCAATCTTCCTGCATCGGCATCTCGTCATTACCCCCATTGTAACCCTTTAGAGTCTGTAATCAAGACAGGGACCTGTCTGGGCAGAGGAGTAACAATGAGTGCATGTAATAGATGTACAACAATTGGTTTAAACCATCACATCAGGCATTCCAATCTAGAACTGATTGTGGAATTTGAGTACCATAAATATGAACATATGAACATATGGGGCCCTTTGTCTTCAGGAAGAAATGTTTAATTGAATTTGGAAACTTGCATTTCTGGGCTACTTTTATGTTGTAGGGGAAATTATGATGATGAGTGAAAAGTTTTAGTGATTGCTTCCTTGAAGGACACAAATTAGGCAGGCTGCCTGTGCATATTTAAAGTTAAAAGGTATTGGTGCAGGCACCACCAAAAAAGAGCTTTTCCTTGAAATGACTCATTTCCATTTCCTTCAGAACTAGGTTTGCACATGCATTTATATATTGAGATCCATTGAAAACCCAACAAATGCTGTTATGTAGACTGTCTGGGCCTCTGTTATAAATCCCATGCCACTGCTAGGCCTGATCTGCAGGTACTCTTCTCTAGCTGGTGGAGTGTCAATTCTTTGTCAGTGAAGGGATTAATATGAGTCACCCTTCTTCGTGGGAGAATAGACTGCCTTTTTATAAATGGCATTTTGTCTTGATTAGGCTATTTTTTCTCCCTTGACCACTGCTGTGCTGTTATGCTATCTGAGCTAATGTTCCAGCTGATGCTGCTTAATGCGCATGTTGTCCTCGCAGAATTTCAGTCTTGGCCAGAAAGGAATTTCTTCCCTCCTCTACCAGTGTGTGAGGCCAGCCAAGGCATGGGGCACTCAAGTGTTTACTTGTGTCTTTTGAAAGGCGACCATATAAGATCCAGATCCAGTCCTTAATCATTCTTATTACTTCAATGCTCATTTTTGAGTGAGCCAGCTAACATTTAGGGGGAGTCAGATCAGAGAGGGTCTAATAATCCTCAGTTGCAGGCCCTGACCTGAGCAGTCATCTCTGCTGCTGCCAGCCAAGAGTTAAACTGCTCACCTTGAAGACGCGGCTGTGATTGAGCCCCGTACTTCAAAATATCCTTAAAATGCCGCTGCCCCCACCTGCAGAAAATCTGCTTACCAGGGTGCATCAAGAGCTGTTGAGCACGAGGCTGACGTCAAACTGGGAAAGAAGGGGGAGGTGGGCAGGTTGGAGCCTGTAAAGCTGTAATTTGCTATAACAAAGAGATCTGGCGAATGGGTTGAACTGCAAAGCAGCAAAGGGTAGAAAGAAAAGGCCGGGCACATATGCACAACAGCACAGGCCAGCCAGTCTTGAATGAGACTTGGCAAGGTGCAGCCTGCACCAGTGAGAGCCAGCTAGGGCATGGGGCCCTCCACAGCTCACACTCTGCACAGTATCTCGGCAGCATTCGCAAAGCAAACAGCTGCGGATGCTACCCTTTAATTTTTGTTTCGAAGGGTAGGGGCATTCAGGATAATTTTGTTCGTGCATCACTTCTGCTAACCATAGCTCATCTTCTGCGCATTATGCATCCGAATACCATATATTTCAGAACCACCGAGAAGAGATGCACAGGACGACCAAATACAGAGGTGTTGGTCTGTGCTTGTCTTTTGGTGCTGAATGGTGTTTCTTACCATTGTCTTCGTATCATCTTTTCACTTTAATATGACAGGGTTCTGTCTGTGTTTCATATAGAGATCTGCATAAAATGTCTGCCTACCAGCGATACTCACCCTTCTGTAGCTGTCTCTTCTCAATGCGGAGCAGTTGAGGCGGCAGTCTTCAGGACTGTCCCCAATTCTTTTGAAACCCCCAGTCACTGGTTTATATTAGAAAGGTTTAGTGAACAGTGAACGCTGTTGTGACAGGAGTGCGGTGTGTATGATACTGAGGTGATGTTTTACTTAGGCTAAAAAACATTACACAATACAACATGCACCAAAACCATAAAGCGAAATAATTAGATAATCAAACCAAGATCCTGTTACTGAGCTGCATCTGCAAGAAGTTCTTGACAGATCTCAAACCTTCAAATGAAAATGTAATTTTTTCCTATGCTTCTGTCTACCTTGTGTTCTATTAGTGTTCTGTTGACAACATATCTCGTTATGAACCAGAACAATTGCTTATCTGTAATTCATCTGCACAAATGAATGTAATAAATAATGAATTTTATATAATGTTGTGTTGAGATTATGAGAAAGTTATGACGGTACTTATTAGCTACATTCAAATGAAACCCTGCCAGTTTCAACACTTGAATTGCCAGTGTGCTTGAATTTTGTTAATGCAGATTAAAGATATCGAGTTGTGCACTAGAACCATGCTGTATTCAACAGCACTCATGAAAGCAGTTCATACCCCATTCATACTGTTAGATCTCTGCATTGTGGTGATGCAAATGGATTTCATTGGTTAGGAGTTTGTTTCACCTTCCATTTAAGTCTGAGCTCATTTGTAAAATGGCAGTTTTATATGTAATATTTAAGTTTGTATAGCATTCTGAATGGAATGGATTTGTGTCTAGAGTCTCTGGATGCACTCTTGTCTGTTTTCAATTTTCATGGGTATTTAGCTGTTTATGAATGCATTGATTTAAAGGCTTATGTACATGTAACCTCACAATCACACATTCTTAACAGATCTTTATTTGCATATCATATAGAGGCAGCTAAGTTAAGTTATATTGCAACGAAGAATTTTAAATCAAAATAAATTCAAAGGATATACAAATTGACAATTTAATTGTCAAATTGCATATGTCAGTGAGTCCTTATTTCAGAATATTATGTACACATTTGATCACCACATTAAGACAAAATATTTCTGCTTCAGAATTCTTTGACTTCGGTGTTAAAAACTGACAGATTAAAATATCTCAAATGTTTAGGTCATGAACAGAGAAGACAATGGGGGGAACCTGTTTGAAGTAGTCAAACTTCCCTGACAGCTGCAGCCCATTGGTTGTCTTTACACTCAATTCTGAAACATGAACTAGAGGGAACAAGTGGAACTACGCAGTGTATCCTGGATGCACCCAGATACAGATTGCATTTTGAACTGAGAAATTCTGCTACATCTTTACACGAAGGGTTGTGGGGGCTAGAACAAGCTATGCAGGCTTGAAGTTGATGCCCTGACTTAGTTCACGAAACAGCTGAATCCTTGACTCTTAACGAACTCAGTGTGCCATATAGCCTTCTGTTTTTTTAAATCTTTTTAAGCCTAATCTTTGCTTTTTTTTTTACCATCCATCCATTTTATAACCGTTTTACCCAATACAGGGTGATGGGGGAGATAGAACCTACCCTGGCAAGCAGTGGGCACCCTGGATGGGATGCAGGATACATACAGACACACACTCTCACATCAGGGCCGATATTCCCAGAAACCAAATAATCTACCATGTCTTTGACTGTGGGAGGAAAGCAGAGTATAGTTTGAAAAACCCATGTGAAAACAGGGAGAACATACAAACTGTCCAGACAGCACCCCGGGAACTAAACTCAGGGTCCGGGTGCTGAGAGGCAGCAATGCTAACCACTGTGCCACCAATGCCCCCATTCTTCTTTACCAATCTGGCTGAATTGTGTGAGGAAAGCAAAAAGATTTCCTCATTCCAGCCATAAGCAGCATGCCTTTCATTGGAAAGGCCAATAAGGTCTGCTACCAGCCCTGCTGTGATCCTCACCCCATGCTGTCTCCATACCACCTTCCTGCCCCCACACTGATGATGTCATCACAGAGTCCTGCCTCCTGCCAATGAGCAGTGTCAGGATTCGGTCAGCTTCCTCTCCTAAGAGCATCTGCAGAACTGGCACTGTTGCTGGGGTCTGGCATGACTTCCAGTCTGCCTCATTGATAGGGTTGTTATACACAGGATATATCATTACTTTGGAATTCACACAAAGAAGCACACGTCTCTATGCTGCTGGTCAATTTATCAAGAAAACAATTGCTCCTTAAATATATTTGGAAATGCACACAGTCAAAATGATATTTTGCTTGTAAACAAATTTCTTCATGTCTAACATCATAATTGTTCCCCTTGTAACAAAAAATGTGGAATAAAATGAGTCATTGCTCGGTAAAACAAAAAACTTTTTTTTAATAAATATGTCGAGGGACGTTATGAGATTGTAGTGACAAAATATTTAGGTAGACTTCATCAACCTCAGGAAACCATCAGATAAATATTTTTACATTACTTTAAGATAATATCTAATAAAGATGAGATTTTTTATGGACATGCAGTGTTTTTGTACATCTATATACATCACAAATTGCATAACTCATTAAAACACAGTATACAAGACATATTTGACACATTTTGATCTACATTTGGGAACCCTAAAAGATCAAAGACGTTGAATTTCAGAATTAAGAATATGAGAAGGATAGTTATTTCTGATTTTTTTAATGGGAGAGTTGCACCCAAAGTTTGTCAGTTTTGTTCAGAGGGTGATGTGATGAGTGATGTGTAAAATGTAAAATCTCAGTTTACCGTCTCTCAGATCAGACACTAACATTTGCTTCCTGTGTTTTTCCAAAGCACCTAAGCAATGGGAGTCAGGTGACAATGACACTGATGTATTTAATGTCTGAAAGACGAGTAAGATATCCAGCCAGCCTGAGAGCTGGGCTCCAGAGCTCCATGTGTGAGCTTGTGTGCAGGCCAGGGTAGCTGGGATAGGGGGGGTCTGATCTGAAACAACTGATTACTGAAGGATTGTGTTCGATGTAGAGACACCCTTCACAGACAAGAGTGACAGATGGGCAAAATGGCCACAATCCAGCCCTGACTCAGAAACCGCAACCTATGCAAAAAGAGAACTTTCGTTTCCAGGGAATTTGGGTATGCCGCAACAGTTTCTGATAGCACAATGAGGGCTCACAATTAAAAGCACATTAAAAAACAAAGAAATTTTAGGAAGACGTGGAGACAAAAAAGTTAGAAGATTGCCGTAACCGGCTGCCAAGAGTAAACTCTACATAAGCAACTCTGACCCTTCAGAGCTCTTCCCAGCCCATTTCTTCACAACCTCACAACCTCTGGATTTTATTTCAGCACACCCTCTGTTGAATTAATAATTACAAAATTATTTTAACTTGTTTTTCAAATATTTTTGGCTCCCTCACAAACAATTTATGTTTTTTTAACTTGAAAGCCGATGATTTCAGAGCCTAAAACCCTTAAAGAGGCCTAATGAGTGAATTGTTAATTGCAATAGTGGGTTTGATTATGGAGTTGGGGGCTCTGGAAAGAAAACTGGATGACAACGGATTCACAGAGGCCTGTAAAGCATTGAATTACCCCGTGCAGTATGGACCTGTGTTAACCGAAGGCCATGTGAGAATTAAGTGTTACAGTGCGATAATACAGGGGAGGTCAGACCAGGTCTATTGTCCTGACAGCATTGGTGAAATTAAAATCAGCCTTGAGTTTCAGGTGAAAGAACTCATTCCAGGAAAGTGAAAGAGATGAGAAACAATGAAAAATTCCCCTCAACCCAATCCACATTGTTGTGTGTCAGAGTCTGGAAAGCCCCCAGTCTTCCTGTACTTCAGTAAGTGCTGTCTCGGGGAACAGGAATGACGCCAGCCTTTGGTTATCTCATTGGATTTTTCTTGCTTCTCTATTGAGTTTTCTCCTGCGATAGTTCCCATGGCAACCTCACTTCTTTTTCTTCCAAAGTTAAGTCTGTTGTTGTTCTGCTGCAGTCAGCCCACCCGTCCTCTGTGTGCACATAAGGAAATTCCCTCAGGAAGACAACTCGTGGATAAAGGGGCTTTTTTCAACATAATAAAACCCTAAAACCATAGCTACACTGATTATACCTAAAATACGTTGGGTCTCTTAAGGTGAGCACCATGGTGGGACAGCAGTTAGCATTGCTGCCTTGCAGTCCTTGTGCCCAGGATTCAGTTCCTGAGGTGTTATCTTTTTATAGTCACTATATTGTCCCTGGGTTCATGTCTGTTTCCTCCAGGTGCTCCAGTTTCTTCCCACACTCCAAAGACATACTGAAAGGTTCATTCTTCTGAGAAAACTGGCTCTGGTGTTGTGTGTGCTTGTCTGTAGTTGTGTATGCCCTGCGCTGGACTGGCGTCCTATCCAGGTTGTATCCTGCCCAGTACCTGTTGCCTGAATGGGTTCCGGCTCCCCTGCGACCCCTTAACTAGATAAATTGGTTAGAAAATGGATGGTTGATGAATACTCTTTCTTTTCCTTGAATCCTGATCATACAATAATTTGATGGAAAGGGCTCACAGCTGAAACATAGAGATTATTTTCTTCCCCCCTCAGCATGGAAGGAACCTTTATCCTTCATTTAAAAACTAGACTGGGACATGCTGCTAAAGTTGTCACAGAGTGCCCCAAGTCCAACAAGCTGTGATTGCTAACAAGGTGGAGAGGGGAGGGGATTTTCTTTTAAGCGAACAATTGCTGTAAAATGCCAGCAATTCAAACCCTCATTGTATTTTTAATTTAATTTTCATGTGAATCAATGTTTGTCACTGATTGTTCTCTGGCTTCATGCAAGAAAAGATCCTTGGATCAATTCGCTGCTAGCTGCCCAATGGGCTCAGTGGGCTGAATGTCCTCCTTTCATTTGTAACACTTCTTATATTCCTTTTTTTAAAAACTTTTTATTTAATGATGCAAGAATTTACAAATAAAACACATACAACACAAAGAAAAATAATGTGCAGCTTTCATCTTTCATGGTTTGATTATATTATTTTTTATGTAATGAGCTATTTACTTTATACCAGCAAGGATGGGAGGTTGCATTTAGAAACACGATCAGCTTAAACATAACAAATAACCAACAGTCTAGTCACTGTTCCATCCTCTTTCATCTCAATGGGGCCACAAACCCCAATCCAGGCTGGCCAGTATCTGCTAAACCTTTCTGCTTGTAACCTTAGGAGAAAAGGGGATCTTTCCCATTATATTAATCTCTTTTTCTGATATCCCTTTATCAGCTTCTTTTCAGGAAGAACTTTCTGGAGACAACACAGTGACTGTTGTGTTCTGGACCACGTGTGCATCTACTGTGCAGCAGGTTCAGTGGAAGTACAGCAGTTGAGAAACCATTCTAATGGGGGATAAGAGCATCAGACAGCAAGGCTGGAAGAGTTGATCTCATTCCGCAGTAACTCCCTGGAGAGCGAAGGGTTAAAGGAAGGGATGTTGAGGTGGGGGTGGAGCACTGCTGCTGGGATTGCCTGTGCTCTGCAGCATTAACTGGAAATGCAAGGCCTTTTCTTTCTTTATTTTTTGAGTCTCTCGCAGGCATCTTCTCCAGCTCTCCGCAGTGCTGAATGCACATCCTGCCTTCACCAATAGGGCCGAGGCAGGGAACAAAAACAGAGGAGAAATCTGCTGACATCACAGATCGTGTTCCAGTCACAGCCTGGGAGATGCTGAGTGAGAGAGAGAGAGTGAGCGAGGGAGAGAGGGAGCGAGGGAGGGTGGGGGCCAGGGAGAGAGAAACTGCAAGCAAGAGATTGTGAGAGGAGGGGGGGGGGTATTGCCGAGCTGTGCTGTAATCGGAGAGAATACTGCAGCTCCCTCTCAGACTCTACACGCAGACAACAGCGCAGCATCTCTGCAGAGTGCGAACACTGGGGAGAGGCAGAGAGCCGTGCACGCACACACACACACAAATGCGGAGAGGGCTGCTGGCCAGGGCTTGAGGATCAATGTCTTAGGAACCGGTAAAAAGCCCGGCGCATCTGACACCACCTATTCTGCAGAGCTGCCCTCAGTCTGAGCGCTTGTGCGATTGCTGGGCTGCTGCAGTCTCAGGGAGCCATGCCAGGGGAGGCAGCCCGCAGCTCGGTGCCCACACCTGGCCTGCCGGAGGGTGAGGCGACAGACAGCGGCATCCCCGGACCAGGTGAGTGAGAGCGAGGGACGGGACAGAGGCAGGGAGGGGTTTGGGGCCGAAAATGCAGACAGAACAATGGCGGGAGGAAGGCTGGGGGAGAGAGGGAGAGGCTAGCCGGAGAGAAGGTTGTCTGACTGGGCCCAGCTGAGGCAAGGATGGAGAACGGAGGGGCTGGGTAAGCAAGGCAAGAGAAAGAGAACATAACGGTTGAACAGAGGCCATGCGAGATGATTGTCCTTTGCTACGGGGAATGACGAAGCCATCAAAACAGATCCCCCACCCCCCAGCAACCCCTAATTACTGTATTGTGCTGTGAATTAGAGCGTAGAGCAGCACTGCCTGGTGCAGAAATGGCGCCTCCTCTGCCGCGAGATGCCAGGGACATGACACAGCACTGGCACACTGCACCTCATGTGCTCTGGAAAGGGGGGCAGCAGACAGGGAGGACAGAAGGGACACTGTGACACCTGGCCGGCGCGAGCAGACTGGTCACTCCCACGTCCTGAGCGAGAGATTTGTGTCCTTGGTCACAGGCATGCCTTCATGCGTCTCAAAACCAGAGCATCTTGCTGGTGCGCTTTGTCACTTTTGTCATGGCTGATGCCGAACACGAACAATGAAATACGAAACATTTTATATACTGTATATATAAATGTTTACCAGTTACAGAAAATGTCAGACTGAAAAAGGGTTTCAAAATGTATAATTGATTAATTCATGCCGCTTGACTCGTTGCGCACAAAAGCCGCCAGAGGCAATGCCGCTTGTGCTTATATAAGGTGAACTGGTATGCAGCCATGCGTTCGTTCACTGTGGAGGGAAATGTGAGTGGAGCCCGACGATGTCCTGGGCTGTTGTAGACAGGCTGTCTGGCATCTGAGGTGTGGACGGGTCGGAGCTGGAACACACCAGAGGGGCGATGGCACCTGGCGTGGAGCAGGGAATCGGTGCACTGGCCTGCTCGGTCTGTGTCAGTCTTTGACAGTCCGGACAGGTGTAGAGGCCCAGAGGGACTAAGTGTTTAACTGCCGGTTCAGCTTTATTGTCTGTGGACTCCTGGATCCCCCATCACCTTCATACACAAGAGCTTTTCTACAAACTAGTAGACACACAAACATCCAAACATTTACAAAGATGTTTGTACTGGCTTAAATCTGAAGCATTTTTCTTTTTTGTCTTGGATACTGGAAACAAGGCAGGAGAAACACGGGGATTGATGGGGCATAGATGGAAGAGGATGGAACAGACTGGGAAAGACAGGGATGGAGTGGGGGGATAGGACAGGAGAAGGAAAGGGAATTGGTGGAGAAGAACAGCTGGGCCAAAGAAGAAGTGAGAAGGTTGCACTGAGCGCCATGTGTTTCAGGGAGTCACAGGGTTAATGAACACCTTCTGTCAGGCCCCGATTGGTGCAGACCCTAGTCTGTCCCCCCAAGGGAAGAGAGAGGGCACTCTGTGAGGGGGGTCATGTCTAATTGACAGCTGTCAGACAGCCAGGGATGGGTGGGTTATGCAATTCCCTTCAGACCACGTTCAGAAAGGCTTTAGCTCCCTGACGCAGCAGAAACACTGGACCAAGGCCTGCTCTTGAACATTACATACAGAAAGATAGTTTCTATACAACAATAGCAGCTCTTGTTACCCTCTGGTGTAGCTAGATGACTGTCAAAAGACCAGCTGCTTTGGAGATGTTAGCTTTTCAGGAAGGGGGGGGGGTGAGCAGAGAGAGAAAGAGGCTGCCTTAGCCTCTATAATTGATATATTCTCTCTGACAAGGGGAAGGTCTGAGATTTTTATGCGGAGATCGAGTTTTCTTTTGAACTTGCTCTGTCACTCTATGGGTTCTCCTTGAGCAGCAGCAAGGATGACTAAGCTATAAGATTTCCCAGAGAGATATGATCAATATGTTTTTTTTTTTAAAGATGTAGTTCTATCAGGATATGACCTATTCTAGTCATATGAAAAATGGTCATATTTCTAAAGCATCTCACAGTAATGCTAGGTATTCCAAATGTTTTAGAAATTTGAATAAAAAAATCCTATCTTTATGAAATTTAAAAGCAGAATTTGAATTATACAAATCAAAGGTAGCTTGATTATCAGACTAAAACTTTCACACTTTATACAGTGGGTATAGAAAGTCTCCACCCCCTTTCAAAATATTCACCTTGTGTTGCCCTAAAGCCCAAAAAGAAGGCAAATAAAATCAGACATTTACAAGTTGTACCTTGCAACATCCAAGTGAAAAAAAGAAAGCAAAATATCTGAAAAAAATTAAATAAAAAGTAGAATAACAGGGTTGGATAAGAGAACACCCTGAGTTAATACTTGGTGGAAGCACCTTTTGCTTGAATTACAGCCTTGACTCTGTTTGGATACATCTCTACCAACTTTGCACACCAACAGAATTGTTCAAGCTCAGTCAAACTGTGTGGTGACCATTGATGGACTGCCCTCTTCAAGTCATTCCAAAGATTTTTGATGGGATTTAGGTAGGGGCTCTAACAAGGCCACTCATGGACATTCACCTTCCTGTCCTTCAACCACTATACGTTTGCTTTGGCAGTGTGCTTTGGGTCATTGTCATGTTGAAAGGTGAACCATCTTCCCATTTTCAACTTCCTGGCTGAGGCCTGCAGGTTTTCTTCAAGAATTTGCCTGTATTTTGCACCATCTATCTTCCCTTCTATCCTGACAAGTGCCCCTGTCCCAGCTGAAGAGAAACACCCCCACAACAGGATCCTGCCACCACCGTGCTTTACCGTAGGAATGGTATTCTTTGGATGGCTAGATATATTGGCTTTTCACCTGTCATACCATTTTGCATTCTGGCTAATAAGTTTGATTTTAGTCGCATCTGACCACAACATCTTTAAGGTGCTTTTTAGCAAAACAAACAAGACTTGTTGTAGCTTTTTTTAAGGAGTGGCTTTTTCCTTGTCACCCTGCCATACAGGCCAGATCTGTGGGGCGCTTGTGATATTTTTGTCACGTGCACTCAATAACCAGTCTTTGCCATAAAGGCCTTTAGCTCGTTCAAAGTTGCCATCGGCCTCTTGGAAGCCTCTCCGATCAGTCTCCTTCTTGCTCAGTCATCCAGTTTGGAGGGATGGCCTGATCTAGGCATGGTCTGGGTGGTGCCATACGCCTTCCACTTCTTAATGATGGTCTTGACTGTGCTCCATGGGATGCTTAAAGCCTTTGAAATCTTTTCATATCTACAGTATCTCCTGACTTGCGCCTTTCCAAAACATTATCTCAAAGTTCTTTTGAAAGCACCTTTCCACTCATAGTGGAATCTTTGCTTTGAAATGCACTCCCAAGCAGTGGAATCCTCTAGAAACAGGTGCTTTTATTCTGAACTTATCAAAATCACCACAATGGATCACAGGTGGGAACCAATTAGTTTGAGATCTGTAAGATGATCCATTATACCCGAGCAAGTTTACAAATTGTAGGGGGGTGTTCACTTATCCAAAAAAGGTATTTCACTGTTGTAATATGAATTCATTTTCAGAATGTTTTAGAATTGTATTTTCACTTGGGTAATGTGGGTTACTGTGTGTAAATAAAAATGGAACAAGCCTAAATTAATTTGTTTTTATTTTCAGAGTGTCACACAACAAAAGGTACACATTTTGAAAGGGAGTGGTTCTATACCCACTGTAAATGGTGTCTAGTTCTATTAGGAAAAATAACGCAGTTGAAAGGTCCACGTAGTGGTCATTGTTTTAAGATTATACCTAAAAATCCCTGCTTTTCTTCCAAGGAGGAAACTGTCTTTACTCAAACCAACCCAGTAAATAGCACATAAAGTTACATTCACCACTTTCTAATAATAGTTGGTTGTTTTTACTGATAAAATGGGCTAATATAATTCTACTGATAGACAAAACTGATGCAAAGTCAAAATCCACAATAGGGCTTCAATATGTTGCTAAACTCCCTTGACATCTGATCTAATCTAATTTCAGAATTTTACCAAGGCACAGCCTACCTATACTGATTTAGGAGACATCAGCTGAAATCTCCAAGCACCTCAGTCGACCTCTAGGTGGCACTGTGACAACCAGTTTTTGAAAGAGATGTTGTTTTGAGGTCTTATATCACAAATGTTCCATGGTGCTTCTTACAAGAATGGAAGTATTAGCTTAGGGCATGATGGCCTGAACTAAAAACAGGTTGCGAATTCTGTCATACCTTAAGAGCCGCTGACATCTTTACTCCCTGGATCCGAATAAGACTTGCGGGTTCAATGAAGGTTAAACCTGAAAATGTCTTCCAGCTGTCTGAGCTTTACCTTGTGTCCAGCTGTGCTATATAGTGCAGTGTTAGGAGGAGATGGCACTACTTTCCATTGTCAGTCTTTCGTACAGCTCTGTGCCAGGACCCAACAGTCGCTTGAAAGACTCTGTTTACAAATGCCATTTGTTATATAAGAGTTGCTCGTTTGTGTATTCTCAGGGATGGACAGATGGACTCTATTGTTTATCATACAAACTAGCATGCATATTTCTCTTCCTGATAAAATAAAAAACAAGTGTACACTATACGATTGTTTTATGGCTTATCAACAAGATCAAACTGGCTGTCTTTTTTTACCATACTGGGAAATCAAAAACATCTAAATGTATCCCCAAAGAATAGAACAAAACAGCATACAGCAATATATACTGTACACCTCCCACCTTGTACAGCAAAACGAATAGTACCATTCAAACGTCTGGATGTATGATCAACTAAAACATGCTGGAGAGAAATGCTCACTGTAACCCTTAGATTCACTAATATTTATGTATTTTTGAGCAGATATAAGTAACAGTACACTATGTTTAGAGAAATTAGAATATTTAATATGCAAATATCTTGTGTTGATATAAAATCGGAATCTGATGATTATACTGAAGAATTAAGAATGACATTACTCTCTCTCAGCTTCTCTGGGCATATTGTTTAAAAACATTTCGAACAGTGCCGCCTATGAAAAGATCTTTCCTCTTGAAGGAGTT